ACACACACACACACACACACACACACACACACACACACACACACACAGGGAGATACAGAGAGAGACACGAGAGAGAGAGAGAGAGAGATACAGAGAGAGAGAGAGAGAAACAGAGAGAGAGGGACGCACACACACAAAGACACAGAGAGGGAGATACACAGAGAGACACACAGAGAGACACACACACACACACAGAGACGCACACACATACAGACACAGAGAGGGAGATACAGAGAGAGAGACACAGAGAGACAGAGAGGGAGATACGAACACACACACACACACGCAGAGGGAGATAGAGAGAGAGAGAGAAAGAGAGAGAGAGAGAGAGAGAGAGAGAAAGAGAGAGAGAGAGATATGACCGCAGGTTTTTGTGGCTTGGATGGGAGAGGATACTGACCGGGAGGGGGTGTCAAACTCGATTGCATTTAGGGACACATCATCAGGGTTGTGTTTGACCTTGGGGAGGGGGGAGGGGTTGGGTGGGCATGGCTGGGGTTGGCATGGCCAGCTCGATGTCACTCAACAACGAGGCTCTGTTTTTGGTTACGGTGGGCTCCTACAGCTCTCTCCGCCAACGAAAACGGAACCCGGGCGAGCTTCGTCATGGCCGAAACCGTAGACTCGCGCGGCCCTCCCAAGGTCCATTTTCACTGGCAGAGTTGTTGCCTTGTGTAGGCCCCACAACAAGAAAGCCCGGCCATCTCCTTCCTACCTGGAGGAAAGGTTCACTGATGCCCGCAATTGTGTTATTCGGACAATACCTAGCCACCACCAGATTGCGCAATACTCCGGCCAGCTGAGGAACAAACTGCGGAGGAGAAACGAAGAAAAGGAGAAAGTCAGGACGGTGAGGTCCTTCCCAAGGGAGGGTGTTTCCCATCGTCCACAGCCAGGGACCTCCTGCGTGCTGGTTTGAAAGAGGGGCCCAAGAAGCCATCTAGGTCCAAATTGAACACCCCTCTTTCAACATAGCGGGAGGGATGTGACATCATCTATCTCCAGTTTACAACACAGTCCTTTAAACAGTTCCAAGAAGGCTCCACACTTATTTTCACCACTCAGGTGACTGCGGAGGACACAGACAAACCTCCAAGTAGCCTCAATGACTCTCTAAAAAGGATGCAAATGACCAGCGGTCTGCAAGGAGGATAAATCCTTCCGTTCCCCACCACCCCGGCAGAGCCGAAGAAGCTTCTCAGAGGAGAAGGGAAAGGCCTTCAAAGCCAAACCAGAAATTCCAGTTGCTTCTTGAGGAAGAAAAGCACTTTTGGGACTTGCGTGCTGGAAAGTTTAATTTAAAGTTATCGCATTCCGTCAAGAGCTTCCAGAAGAGACTGGACGGCCACTTCTCAGAAATGTTATTAGGGTCTCCGGCTTGAGCAGGGGGTTGGGCTAGATGACCTCCCAGGTCCCTTCCAACTCCGGGATTCTGTGGTTATCTGCTATTACCTTGGAGAAATGTTTGAGGGCCTGCGGGCTTTTTTCACACATCTCCGTAATTAATAGAATGGTGCTGTACAGGATGCCTGGAAAACAATGAGATTGCTCAGGTTTGAGTTCTGAGTCTCATTCAATTGTTCTTCCCAATAGCTCTGTTTCTTCCGTTCCCTCTTGCTTCCCTTCCTAACCTTTTCTCCCTCTTTTCCCTAACCTTTTCTTGAATTTTTCTCTTTTTCTCGATCTTTTCTTTTTCTCGATCTTTTCCCTAACCTTTTCTTGATCTTTTCTCTTTTTCTCGATCTTTTCCCTAACCTTTTCTTGAACGTTTCTATTTTCCTCCATCTTTTTCCTAACCTTTTCCTGAATGTTTCTATTTTTCTTGATCTTTTCTCTTTTTCTCGATCTTTTCCCTAACCTTTTCCTGAACGTTTCTATTTTCCTCCATCTTTTTCCTAACCTTTTCCTGAATGTTTCTATTTTTCTT